ATTAGGGACATCGGATTAATGTTGGTTAAGAGCTCCGCAATAAAATTTTCCTCTAGGGTGCTGGTTGGAGGTCGAATGGAAATGGCCATTACATTAGGATTAACCAAGTTGATAAATTTTGCTGGCTTCAAATGTGATTCTTGATAGACTAAGCATTTCATTTTTAATTGTTTTATTTTATTTTCATCATCTTTACGCCTTTTGGTTTTTATCTTATAACGCAAATATAATTTGTAAGAATATTTATGCGATCTTTTAAAATTTTTGTACTCATCACTACACCATAAAAATAAAAATAAAACCATACGAAACAAGGAGTTAAAGATTGGAATTAAAAAGGTAAGAAATGCTCAATGAAGTTCGTCCAAATCTTCACTCCCAATGGTGTTGATGTTAATTCCAGCTTGGAAAATAGCCGAGACGTCTATTATTTCTCCTAAGTCTTGCTTTTATAGTTCCACAATTTTTCCCAAGTCCAATGGCAAAAACAGCCTTCATTTCTAAGTTTCTGCCCAGTTTTTGCATCTCTAGCCAGTTCTTACGCTTCTGGCCAGTTTTCAGTCCATTCAGCCACTTCCAAATATGGCCAGAATTGTTTCCTTTTCTTCAAATTGGCTTCTTTTGACTTGTTTTCTCTCCAAATCTGTTCTCCAACGTATAAACCTGAAATATACAATAAAACCACAATGAATGCACTAATTTTCTCCATTAACAAAATAAAGACTCAGGTAAAAAGCATATATAAGTTGGTAAAGTACCAACTGTTTACCAACTTATAATTGAACAGACAGGTATTTGAGGGGGATAGGTTGGTGCACCAATGAAATTCCAGTTTGTACAGAAGATTGGATGTCGTTCATAGATAATCTTGTTATGCTGTAGATTCTCTACTTTTTTGTGTATCTTATCAAAACAAAAAAAAGAAAAAAGAAAAAGGGTAAGAAAGAAGAACAGATAGGTGTTTGAATATCTTTTCTATGTTCTAATGCATGTCCCAGCATCATTCTAATAGTTAAACTTTGCAGAAGATCTAAATTTTCTTCTTGGATAATTATTCTTTGGGGAGAAAACTTATATCTTAGTTCAGAAAATAGACATTGGAATTTCCAGCTTACCTGAGTAGCATGTTTTGAGAGCTTGTCCAATTCCATAGACTAAAATTACTTTTCTTGGTTCCTTCATCGGTTTATGACGGTCGTAAGCGTTTGACACGGGACAGATTTAAGACATGGTACATCGTTTTATACCTCAAACCAATCTTGCATATGATGCATGATTAAAGATCTTGTCAAATGTTCAGTTTCCATATGATGCAAGATTAAAGATCTTGTCTAACTGCATTGAATGAATTCGGTAATGTTGGATTGTTCTAGTTGTAAGATATTGAATCCACCTTAGACATTTTGCACCTCATGCAAATCGTCGATCTGATGACTGTAAATTTTCTTGGGTAGCAAATCACAGGAACATTGTCAGATCTCCGGTTTTGATGCGGGAGCTGTGGCTTGAGATGTGGCATGATATTCATCCGGATAAAAAGTCTAACTTTGTTACAAAAGGTGGGTCTGTTTCCTCATTAACTTCTTCTATGAAAGTTTAGTTTTTATTGACATTGTAAGCATTGCAACAAAAAGCAAAGCGTGGGCCTCTGAGGGATGAGGACTGCTATTGGGATTATGGAAAAGCCCGATGCGCATGGCCTGAACATTGTGAATACAGGTAACAGTGTTTCAATTGAATAGTGCAAAATAATATTCCCCTTCACTGTATTTAGGCCAGCTTTCTCCGGTTACGATGATGCAGATATTTATTCGGGGATGTTCACCTGGGGCAGAGTTGCAGATTGAAGAATTCTACATATGATCTCCTGTCGCACTATGTATGATTTTAAAGGTATGCCGTTCTTTTTTGTTAAAAGGGATAAGGAATATTCAACAGCTAAATTATCCTAAGGAAGCGTAAAATGACAACCAAAATATGTGACAACAAGATCGAGATTTGCTAAAATGTACTTTGTGCTTCAATGCAAGGGATGTTGATTTGTCCCCCATTTAATGTCGTGACTTAGGAAGTACTTTTATATACCTCACTGCTTGAGGAATAGCCAGCTTTTTTCTTGATGTAACAGCCCAGCCCGCTAGTGATATTGTCCGCTCTGGGCCTAGGCCTCCACGGGTTTAAAACGCGTCACTATGATCTAAGGCTTGTTAACTTATATACCCAACATCGCTCTTGTGTTTTGTCGATGTGGGATTCTGTCTAAAGCCTGGGGTGTTACATACACCCCCTCTTATGGACTCAGCGTCCTCTCTGAGGTTTGCCCCACCGCATGGGATTTGCCTAGACTCAGCACTGAGGTTTGCCCCGCCTAACCGAGATTTGCCTAAACTCAGTTGAACTCTGACCCACCATCGGCATGGCTGACACAAGAGTGACTCTGATACCATTTGTAACAGCCCAGCCCGCTAGTGATATTGTCCGCTCTGGGCCTAGGTCCTCACGGGTTTAAAACGCGTCACTAGGGTCTAAGGCTTGTTAACTTATATACCCAGCATCCCTCTTGTGTTTTGTCAATGTGGGACTCTGTCTAAAGCCTGGGGTGTTACACTTGAAGGGTGCAGAATAATGATGGTCTTATTATTTTTCTAATGTATGATTTTTGTGATGTTCTTGGTACTTTGAATTCTTTAGTCGTAGGGGGCAAAAGCTGGGAACTTTTAAGTGATGGTTCTGTGCTTTCCCTCTAGTAGTCGTGTCCGATGGTCCTGACTATCTTTCTGAGAGATGAAAAAAGTTCGGATTAGCAGCCGTAGAATTGGGTTTTCCTCCAAAATAGGAGCTTCCCGATTTCAAGAACCTAAAAACAAGGGGGACTATTAATGGTCAAAAGATATTGAGCTGAAACTAGAAAACTCCCCAGAAATAATACAAAGTCTGCAAAAAGGAGTCAAGTATCTTCACTACTGAGTATGAGTTGGAAGACCAACTTCCCTAGTACTGTGCTAATTCATCACCAATGACAATCTTTTTGCCAGAAGAATTTTGTTTTAAGGGATAAGTTTTCATGTGGTTTGCAGAAAGCAGATGTACATTCCACAAATATTAGAAGAACAAGGCCTAACGATTCAGAGAGCAAAGACTGGATGTTCGTCTGGACTGCATCGCATCCAACTTTGTGTATCTTTAACTTGGAGAGTTTCTGGATCACCTGTACATCCAAATGGAAGAAAATTTGTAGAGTATCAGATGTAGCACCATAACATGTTCCACATTAGAGTGTAATTACAACGAAGAGTCAAATAGCTCTATTCATTTTTAGGAAGACTATGATCATTTATATGCATTGGTGTTTTGAGTGCCAACAGTTGATCACACGTCTGAAAATGTAACCCATATATTGAGACTCCATTAGTTATTTAGTTTTGACTATTTAGATAATGGAATTACACAATCCAAGACTTTGCATGGATGAACTATTTGGGTTCAAGCACGAGAACTGAATGTCTTTTTTCGCCATTCTTGCCTCTGTAATCTGTCATCAACAACAGAAAATCGGTAAAGTGATGCAGAATACAACCACGTGCCAATATTGGGGCCATAAAGGACTGTCTTGTTGAATACATTTCTATACACCCTTTTTTGTATGATGTGATAACTTGAAAAGAATCAACTGTTTGAATAAAACTACGGTCATGCATGAGAATTTCTGCTTTTGCAAAGGTTGCATCCTTGATCTTGAAGTAATCTGAATTCCAAAAGTAGGTTTTCACATTCCCTCAAAGTTGATCTTGATGTGATCTGAAGAAGTTTTTACACGATTATGATAAATGCGTTTCAATTTTTTCTCTTCTAATTAAGCAATGCAATATAATATCGTCATGTTCATCCTCATTTACATCCTATAGAAAAGAATTTATATGGTCTGAATTTCACTTTTAGGAAGGTAACATCTTATTAAACATCAGCACAAAAGCTGTGTTGGTAGCCATATTTGCAGATTCCAGAAAAGCTAAAGTATTTCCTTGCTCATCTTACAAGGATTCAATGATGTCTAGTACAGAGTCAACATCATCTATATAGTTTTCTTTACACCAAAAATGAAATAACAATGAGCAATTCATCGTCTAGAAATAGAAAAGATTAATCCAAGAAAGCAAGAAGCCAGAAAATCACTTTCATTTAGAGGTAAATCAAACTGGATCCCCATAGAACTCTCAGTTGTTTGGTCTTAAGTTAAAGTGTTTTATCTTTGACCAGGACTAAGTGCTCAGTATTTTTGTAAAGATGAAGGACCATTTGTGTCCATCATTATATAATAGCAGGGACAAAAATGTACCTGCCCTATACTTAAGGGACTACTTAACGTTTTTTTCCTCCTATTATTCCACATAGGAGTCGCTCTCTCCGTGTCAGACTTCCTCCAAACTTATCCCTTATTGGCTGATTTTAAAAAGTCAATTCCAATGATCGATCAACCATCAATTTTTTTTTAATGATCGAGAAATTCCTTAGGGGCTAAGTAGCGTATTATCAACCGTCAACTGAACTTAATATTTTCAATAATATGTTGTAAAAACTCTAATATCAACTCATCAAATTTAAAACCTTAATTTGTCTCTAGAGCTAATTTAATAATGGGTTCACCTCTCCAACTGTCTCCACTTAAATACCATAGTGCATGGTTCGCAGTTTGGTACACAATGCATTTCGTATTTACCCCAATCCGAGAAAAGGACATGTAAGCAGTCTACCGTGATATAATTATTTTGGAGCCAATATGAATTAGTAACCTATAAGTCACACAGATATAATTTTACCGTTGTTCAGCCTCTTTGGGTATTAGAGCCAATATATAAATATAATACCTAAGATAATTGTGAGAAAAAGCTCATGACCTTGTGTCTACTTTCACATGCTCACTGACCAGAGTTCGCCGATCATCATCGTCAGGATAGAAAAGAAAAAAGAAGAAAGGTCTCCTATTAACAGCCAAGGTCAGCCATGAACTTTAAAATAAAAGTAATTTATTTTAATTTTACTTTTCCTTTGTGTCTGAGATTGTGATCATCATATCATGCCTTCTTTTAATTGCTTTCTTGTGCGATCATTGAACTATATACTGAAGGAACCATGCGTTGTTATTTTCTAGTACTTTGAATGATTTTACACTTCTGGTGTTTTTTTTGCTAATGTTGACTTGAATTGGGTTAACAGAGCTCCTGTTAATTAGCTATTTGTCTGACAAGTCTAACAGATGGATCAACAATATGTATAAATTTGTGGTAAATTAGAACTAATATATATACACTTTAGTAGTGGTGGAGCAACGATTTTCACTAAGAGCTATCAAAATATATAAAAAAAACATAAAAAAATAAAGGGGATTCGACTTTATATAGTATTAATACATGAAAGAAACTTTTGTCTAGCTATACTAGTGAAATTTTCTAGTGTTGGTAACTTGGTTAAAGGTGGCTCCGCCACTACACTTTACAACAACAACAAACTAAGTGTAATCCCACAGGTGAAGGCTGTTTCCGATAGTCCCTTGTCTCGAGGAACAGTAAAAATAACGCAAATGCCACTACACTTTAGGGTATTACTAATAATGCATTGACTATAGTATGTTGTATGGCCTCTAGAATATTTTGCTTCTTCCCTCTCCCGTCATGTGGTATTGTTCACTTTTTTCTGAAAATTATGATGCATGTTTGATATAAGTGATACTATTGGTTTATTACAAGATTAAGGCCAGTGTAAGTTGCTTCTGTTGTAGCCTAACTTGGCTTCTCTGAAGTTTTAACTAGCTAGAATAAATCGGTAAAAGCGAAAGCCATATATTTTCTTGACAGACTTAAAGTTTTATATGCAGAAAAGTGTAATTTTTTTTTTTTTACAGTATTAGGTCTTTTAAAAGCCAACTACATGGAAGTTGTCTATAATAAGCATGCTCAGTGGCATGTTAATGATGGTAACCTGTTTAACTAGAACTACATTTATAATGTAAAAAGTAATTGTTGTTGGTGTATATAACTTAAATTCTTCTTTGATTGAGCTTTTGAACATTTAATACCATTATTTTCACTATCATTCCCATGTATTTATCTGTGTTTCCATGTTTAGGGGCCTCGGGTTGGTGGGAGTTATTTTTGATACTAGGCTTACTCTTCTGTTTACCTTAAGGTGTTTCATCTGAAAGGTGATTAGTAGACTCAAATGACGGGTAAACAATTGGACTGGCATGACTGGGAAATGCTTTCTAGAATTTTTACTGTGAGATTGGGGCTTGATACTCTGACAATGATTGGTTTTGTTAAAAATGGATTAAAATGTTAACTTTTAGGACTGGCTGCTTCCCACTCTAACTTTCCAAATCTGTTTCTTACTTTCAAACCATAAAGAAGAAAAAGAAAGGTTAAATTTTAGGCCTGCATTATTAATGTTTGAGATAATTTATAAATTCCTTCTAGCAGAACAAAAGAAAGAAATCTCATGCTTGGAAGATTACATTAAACAATGCAGAGATTGTTTATAAGTTAAACATGTACTGATAAATAGTCTCCATTTTGTTGGCTTTGTAAAGCAAGAAATGAGTTTACTTTTGCCGGGAAGAGTACTTAACTTTTGCTACTTAAAATGAGAAGGTTTCATTTTGGCAACTGACTTAAATAGTGTCACGGGTTCGAACTGTGGAATCAGCCATCGATGTTCGTATCAGGGCAGGCTGCCTACATCACACCCCCTTGGGGTGCGGCCCTTCTCCGGACCTTGCGTAAATGCGGGATGCTTTGTGTACTGGAGTGCTCTTTTTTGTAGAGTGTGATGCACTTGCTCCACTCCACTGTTATCAGTGGCGCGCTTAAGCCCTAACTGAAAACACTTTGAGCGCTTCGCCTCGTTTAGCGGACGCTTTAGTGTTGTCATCAAAGCTCTAAGACATATTTTTCCTTGCTAATGAACGTAATCCTGAAGAGGCGACATTAAACAATTGATATTTCACTTTATTGTAAATTTTCTTTAATTTCTTTGTCCATATAGTTGGTATTCATGCTTATAATTTTAGTCTTGGACTACACATACATATTTGTAGTTTTTCTCTACTGTGTCTTTCTTCATTAAAGCCCACGCTTTATTTGCTCTTTGAGCTTAAAGCCCCAACAAACCTTAGAGCTTTTTTACGCTTTTCGCCTTTGCTAACACTGCTACACTTCTTTAGTACTTTAGAAGGTGACAATTTCTTTCTTCTGTTCTTCCTGTTATTTGATACTGATTTTAGAGAGGATTCATTTAGGGGTCTGTTTTTCTTTCTTTTGTTGCTCAATTGTGTCTCATTTAGTTAGTTTCATAATTTTCCATTGAAAACCTCTGATTCATTGATTGGTTTTCACTTACCTAATTCAACTGTACGTCTTTGCTCATTTCAAGGTCCAATGTTTAGATGACTCCCCGCAGCATGAGCGGGAGTATCAAGCTATGAACTTATCATCATAGGTAACTAAGTTGAACTTTTTTAGTGCCATGGGTTCTGGTTACATTCGCTTGTCCTATCTGCTCATTTATGTTTTGTTTGGGAGGTAAGAAGCAAAGAAAAATGAAGGGACAAGAACAATTCTTTTCACTAGACCAAAGCCCGTGTTGGGGTTGTGATGGTTCCAGAAAACTACTAGTACTATCTTAGGAGTTTCCTTATTCTTTGTCATAAAAGACTGGCAATCTTGATGCCTGAGCAGCTATCGTGTGGATCCGGGATGATGTATTCTAGTATTTTAAGCCTCATGTCATCTCTAATATATGCGTAGTCTGCTAGACATGTTAGTGGCTCGCCAAGATTTACTGATGTGTTCACTGAGGCACAAGTTTAAAATGGAGAGGTGCTGCTTAATAATGATTGATTTGCCGTATTCTGGGTAGAGCTCTGTAATCGGGTCTGTTTGTGATTTAAATTGAAGTGTGACCTTGAATTTAGTTTGCTTAGATTTTTATTGTCAGATTATATTTGTTCAATTTCATCACAAACACATATTCCTTTATGTGAATGCAAATATGGAACAGGATGGATATAGTCAGACGTATGCAACCTTATCTTCGGATGTTTCTTGCAAATGTCCATTTTCATTCTTTAATCCTATCATATCTAAAGTTTGGTCCCTAAGTCATCCTTCTCTGTCGCGTTCTCTCTATCAGAAATTATTAAATAGGGAAGGTCAGGATTGGTATATGAACTCATACAAGGACAACCAGTTAAATAGTTGGTATTCCTGACTTATCCTTCTTAATTTATTGAGTAATTTTCACATCTTCTCAGTTAGCAAACGGCTGTGAAGCCATTCTTTCGCTTAAAGACGATAATGGTCCTTGTAGTTTATTCTTCAACAATTTTCCTTTGTAGTTTTTCCTTGTAAAAACCTCGTGACAAGGGCATATTTTTGTCATTGTGGAGACAAAAGCCAAGGTTAGGTAAGGGGGGAATGACAAGCATTAAGTTCCATATGGAAAGAACAAACAACTGATGGAGTTTTCTATGTAAAACTATGAGTTAAGCAGATTGCTGAAACTTTGTTCTGGAAATTCTTTCTTGTCATTTTTGTAATCCTCTGGCCCACCCTCCCAAACATTGAACGAATAACGAAATACTGGCATGAAGTTTTTTTCCTTTTAAAATGTTTTTCCATTTGGCTGCAGAATTATTTTAGAGCTTTCTGATTGCATAGGATTTACGTCATGAGGGACAGGTGGCCAAGAGGTAAAAAGTGGCTTAAATTGTCATCTGTAGAAACAATTGCTCTTGAACAGCTGAGACGAAGCACAACATCAAGGGAAACAAAACAAGAAATGGAAAATAATTTAGAGACCAAGGGAACTTGGCTTCCTTATGACTTGCTTTTTAAGGTTTTTCTTCTACTTCCAGCTGAAACTCTCTGCAGACTCCGTTGCGTATGCAGGACACTTCTTAACATGATCAACAGTCCGGCTTTTGTTGAAGCTCACTTTCGTCAATCTGAGACAGTTCTAATTACTCAGAAGTCCTTTCGCGAGGAAAACATACGGTCACCTTTTCCACTACCTTCAGATAAGCCAAATCAATGTTACTTCCATTTCTGGGACATCCATAGCGGTAAAGGCCACAAAGTTTGTATGCCAAATTTGAGGAACTTAGAGTGTGTTTTGGCTGCCTGCAACGGTTTGGTCCTGGCTAGAATTAAGAAAAACGGAGGTCTAGTAGTTGTAAATCCAAGTACAAGGAACCACATTAGAATGCCTCTTGGTACAATTGGTTTCGCGCAGGAGTGCTACGGGTTCATGTTCAGCCACTTCACAGGTGCTTATAAAGTAGTACACTTGTTCCGCGACGAACATAGACACATCCGCTGTGAGATCCTGAACCTTACTACAAGATCATGGCATGCAGTGGATGGACCTAATTCAGGAGAATTCGGATCAATCAGTACCACTCGTAGATCTGTTTCAGCAGTTGGAGCTTTGTATTGGCTTCCAAAAAGGGACAGTTGTAACCATGCTGTGTCTTTGGGATTTCATGATGAGAAGTTCCAAACTGTACCTCTACCAATCAACAGCACAAAAAACGATCGTCTTGTTGAGATTGGAGGCACCCTGAGCTTCATAACTCATGCGACGTTGAATTTGATTCAGGTATGGATCTTGAAGGACGGCTTAAGGGAAAATTGGATAAAGAGATATAGCATCAATAGGTTCTATGATATCACAGGATTTGTTCCACTTTGTGCTTCGACAACGGAAATATTTTTCAAGAGAAGAGGAAACCCTTTGTTACATATATACAATATTGAAGCTGAAGAAATGCAGGAGGTTAATGTTGGAGATGTGCAAATTTACATGCCTCATGTAAAGTCACTTGTTTCATGGGATAGTCCTCAAGGTCAGTGGGATGTGTAAATGGATATTCAATCAGCAGAACCTTTGTGCTGTTCAAACTTTCGAAACCTAGTTGGTTTTGTTCCTAAAATCACTTTCCAAATATTTCTACTAATAGTACAGTGTGTTTCTTTCAGTTGTATATTTGTTTGAACATTTCGAGGTGATTTTACCTGCATGCTCCGTGGATGAGTTAGTTACCATGCTATTGAGGTTTTGTTAAGCTCCAGGATTTAATTCGAGTTTTGTAATGGGAGTTTAACGAAGGAGGTGAACTTGTAAGGTATGTCCACTTTTGCTTCTTTCTTTTCCATCAACCTCAAGGAGGATAAACAATAATTCTCCATAGCTGAAAATCGTTAAAATAGCACGGGCTAGCTAGTTTTCGGACTGGTTATTCAAAAATAGCCAGTATTTGTCAAATCATTGAAAAGTAGTCACTATTTTGCTGCAATAGAGACCTGTCCAGCATAATATACTGGAGTTCGGTGCACCTTTGTATGAATTTACAACATATTATGCTGGACCGGTATACTTTGCTAGCTCCAGTATAATATGTTAGAGTTCAAGTATATTATGCTGGAGTATTTTCTGGATTTTGAATTGTGTTTTTGTTCAAATTTATTTTACATAAAAAATGACTAAATTTCGTTGACTTTTGAAACTGTGTCTATTTTTGATCGACCATTTATAAATCTGACAATTTTTGAATTTCTCCCTCTAATCTACAAAGTGCCCTCGATCAGAATCAAACTTCAGACCCATAGTTGAAGTTCATGTAAAAAGGAATGGCGAAGAATCTCAAGTTTAAGAGGCTTATTATTCTAAAAAGTAGAGAGGCAAATTAATATCCCTAATCGTCTTCTTCGTGTCTTATCTTTTATAGGAGTAAGAGCTTAAGTAGTTGTCTCTATTTGATTTCAAAAAGTTAGCATCAACAGCAATTGCAGGCTGTGCATTCCCTGTTTATTAACAATGCAGTGATGCACAACTTCGGGTTTGTTTGGTAAGAACGAAATATTTTTCGGAAAATGTTTTTCAATTTTTTCATATTTGGTTGGCTTAAATGTTTTGAAAAACATTTTCATCGTGAACTCATTTTTCTCCTTTCCTTATCAAGAGAAGGGAAAATCTTTTACAAACCTCGGAAGTTTATGAAATTTGCGGGTTCGGAAGATTGTTGGTTCAAAAGTTTATGGCTTCATGTTTATTGCATTTAAATTATTTATGAATACTCTTGAGAAGTTATTTTCCTTAATTTGCATACCAAACACCGAAAAATGAATAAAATTACTACTTGTTTTCCAAGAAAACAATTTCTTGAAATATACCTAACACACCCTTCATCTCTCCGTTTTTTTTTCCGCATGCCGAATAAGGTAAAACATCCAAGTAAATGCCGCATACCCAATACATACAACACGAGGCATACCACTAACCATCTACCAGCTTATAACAACTTAAGGGTGAAATTAAAAAATAGTCAGATTTATTAGTGGTAATTGAAAATAGACATAGTTTTAAAAGTAATAGAAATTTAGCCACTTTTCATGTAAAGATAAATCTGAACAAAAACACTGTCCAAAATTCGAAAATTATTCCAGCATAATATACTGGATTTCCAGCATAATATACTGGAGTTCCAGTATAATATACTGGTCCAACATAATATGCTGGAAGTTCATACACAAGTGTTCCAATCTCTATGCTGGACTTTCTGTGTGTTGGAGTTCCAGCATAATATACTGGAAGTTCATACACAAGTGCACCAATCTTCAGTATATTATGCTGGAATTTTTTGTGTTACAGCAAAATAGTGACTATTTTCAATGACTTTGCAAATACTGGCTATTTTTCAATGACCAGTTCGAAAACTGGCTAGCCCATACTATTTGTTCCAACTTCAAGCATATATTGCTACGGGTAAACTTCAATAATCCACGTTAAATCCATTCCAACAGTATCGCAGATTCATACATGGTGCACTCTAGTGCCTAGTGCCTAGTGCTACCTCTTTTTCAATTTATGTGATAAATAAAATTACATATTTGGAAACAACGAATATATATCACAATAATTAATAATTTAAAAGACATAAAAAAGTTTACGATCAAACTCATTTAACTCTTAAAATCTAAACACCGTATATACTATTAAACATGATTCTTCCGAAAAGCACCATTGGGCTAAAATAGCTCAGTCGGTAAGACCAAAGATTTCGTTGCACCATTTTTAAATCTCATGATCTTGAACTTCTCTCCTCCAGCGGTAGAACAAATCTTTCATGCGCCATACTTGTAGCTCGTCGCCTCCACCATTGTTCAAGTTGTCACAGCCAAAATCCAACCAAGTCGTGATGACACCTAACCTAAACCCCTAGGTAAGCTGATCAACATATAACACATCTTGAACAAAAGATCATCAAATAAATAATATAATAAGAATGCAAAAATTAATATAACTATCCCCAAGAACTAGTAGTACAAGTCATGAGCCACTAAGTTTAAGAAATGCGATATTGGTATGAATATTATTTACTCTAAAAAACGGATAACAATTAAATTTGTAAGTGATTTTAAGGATACACAGATTAATTCGATACAAAAGATAAATTGCGTTAGATTAAACAGATAAAAGATGTAGTAAGTTATCAAACCGCTTGAGGAGGAGGATTCTCGATTTAGCAACAGCCTCAATGAAATATCCATCCTCGATCCAGACTCACAATGACCAAGCACTGATGAACAAGAATAATAACTTTGAATAACACAGAAAATAATAGTATATTGCCTTGGTATGCGTGTGTTACCATGTCGTCAATAAATAATCAGACTCCCCTTTATATAGTAGGAAAGTTTTACCCAAAGTACAATTCTATAAAAGGTAAAAATCTTTTGCTTAACTAATCATCGGTTCTCTATTGATACGTGTCGAGATTCACGTCGTGATATCCGGACGGTCGCGAATATCACGGCCTTTTGTTGGTCGTGCCCGATCGTCCGTTAATGTTCTTCGAGGCCTTCGGGGTTCAAACCAGACCTGGGGACCATGGCCTCTATATTCCCAAGGGTAGTCATTTCACCCCGACCCTGGATCAAGGGGCTCTTTGCCTCGATTTCATTTCCTTGCTTTACGTTTCTCGCTCCGTTTACTTCATCAAAAATCGAGACGTACCATGAGCTCGATTTTACCCGTATACAGATAGTCCCCTCGTTTCTCGGAGGGTGAGTTGACGAGAAACGAAATGAGCTCTTTGATTCCTTATTCAATACGCCATGACAGAAACGACAAAGATCCCGAAACGTCCCGTCATTTATGACTTCAAACGCGTGCCAATCACCGGTTGGCTATCTATGAACGTGAAATATCATGAAGCCTCTATAAATATTCCCCTCTTTCGTTCATTTTTTGCTTTATGTTCAAGCTTCTACCCTCGAGTCTTCTACCCTTCTTCATACTCTAGCATTTTTACCTCCGTTTTTCAAGAATTTTCAGTAAGTTCAAATTTTTTACTCATCTTCTATCCAAACCGCCGCACTTGACCCTTCGTCTTTCGTCATCTTTTCTCAAGCCTTATCTAGATAAGAATGGAAAAAACTTCCAAATCTGTTCCCAAAAAAGTTGCTTCTTCCTCTCAACTGACCGCTGAAATCGATGAGGCCACTCCCGATGTGGTTGACGTGGAGAGGTTCGCTGCTGATGTGTCTACTGACGAACCGGTCATCGAACCTCCCTTGAAAATGTTCATTCTTGGGGATTGTTTGGTTGCCAACGACTTTAAGGTTGAGAAACCCTCTTCAGTGAAGGGTCGGCATAAGGAGGCATCGAGATATATATGCTCGATCACCGAAGATGTCCTCCCTGAGGTCAGAAAGAACCATAATTAGGCAGACAAGGACATAGTGGTCCCTGACCTTGAGGAGGCCATTACTACCCATATCGAGGGATATCTAAGTGTTTACACTTATCCCTTCACATTGGGCCTAGTGGACCCGGTCATTATAGACTTCTGCAAGAGGTACGAAGTATGCCTCAGTCAAATCCACCCATCACCATGGAGGATTGTAATCCTCCTTCGATTCTTCGTCAACAAGATCGATTCTTGTCAGCTCACCATAGATCATTTACTCCGCTTGTGAAATCCCCGACTCTTCCGAAGGGGACTGATAAAGCTCGTGCACCGGGTTAGCAAAGCCCCATTCTCAAGCATCAATGAGGACCGAGATCGAGGCTGGTAGGGGCGCTTTGTCCAGGTGAGGACCTCAGACATAATCCCTGCAGAGTTTAGGCCATTCCCCGAGCGGTGGAACGTATCACGTAAGTACAACTTTCCTTTGAGTGTTGATTTTATGTTCATCTCCTTTTTCCTCATCGGTATTTTGTCGTGGTGAAGCTGTCGCTCGAGTCCCAAAGCTATCCCTTGGCTCAAGGAGTGGATCGAGGGTATTGTCTCACAGATGCCTTACTCTGAGCGCTCGTGGCGCAAACTCTCGAAGGGCTGTTGGGAGGACCGTTCCCATGGTAAGATTTCTTTCCCGAATAAGTTACACTAGGCTTCTTCTTCTAGCATCACGTTCTTATTTCCTTTTCACAAGTTTGCCTAAGACCATCGAGCTTAGGCCTCCGTTCGGGGATGAGGACTTGCCCGTCGATTCCTCTACTTTGGGGCAGCTCGGGGCTGCAGCAGGAGAGAAGAAGAAGAAATGAAAGGCTCTGGGTTCGTCGAGCTCAGAGAAGAAAAAACCAAAGAGAAGATTGGTTCGTAAGCTAAAGGAGAGCTCCATCTCTCGAGCACCAGACTAGGACTCACTCTACCGGCTCAGGGATGATCCCGAGGAGGAAGATCTTTTTGCAGCCCGCGAACCGTCGCCCTCCGAGGAGTAGAGGGTGTTGAATAGGAGATCCATGAGGCGGATCTCTAATCACGTCCAAATGCACACCTCAAAAGAGGTATGACACAGTCGCATGCAATAATAAAACCCAACTCAGAGTCAAGGTCGAATCCGCATGGAACTAAGATGGGAGTTAGGAGTATATACTCGGAATGAGCAAGTGAAGTATCTATATTGAACTTACACAATGAGTTTTTGGTGTTTATATTATCTAATATTAATCTAATGATTGTAAATTAAAGACAGAAGACTAAAGATAGTTGTTTTTGAGAGTTTTCCAAATATGTAAAAAACCTAGTGCTATGACCAAGACCTAGGTGTTTGCCTAATGGGATAAAAACTTTTATGCTCGTTTTGTTGACAAGGGTGTATTATAACTCACAACTCTACGTTGTGAGCATGTGATTTTTGCCCTATATGAATTACTCCCACAAATTCAAGAAAAATTAATTTTCCCATTATTTACAATTTCGTAGATTTTTGTAGCATTTTGTTAATTGTTGGCATTTGTTTGTGCATTTTTAATTTTGCTTGATTCATGAAAATACAAAATACATTGCATTTGCATTTAAGACTTAATTTTACATTTTTGGATTAATTAGTAAATTAATTTGTTTGACAAAAATAGAGAAAATCACAAAAATAACTCATTTTGCTTTTTTAACTTTTAATTTTGAGTTTTATAGTTTTTCTTCTAATTTAGGATTTAATTAATTATTGAAAATACTGTGTTGACTAATTAGCTTAATTTGGTAAATTAATTTAGTTTAAGAGTTAATTTAGGATTTAAATTAATTTGAGAAGAAAAGAAAGAAAAGAAAACAATTGAAAATTGAAAAGAAGAAGAAGAAAGGAAATTAAAATAAAAAAGGCTGCTTTGATTTTGGGCTAATATGCCTAAGCCCAATCCCATTTCCCCTCCCAAAACCCTTGAATCTGCCCAGGCCCAAGTCGTTCCCCATTAACCCGTCTCGATCTGGCCCAAAACCCACCCCATTACCCGGTCCTCATCCCTCACCTCCCAAACGATGTCGTTTAGTGCAAATGTGATCCCAACCGTCAAGGTTACGTGATCTAACGGCTGGGAAGTTGGGGGTCATTTGATATAAGATTGTCTGAACCCTGTACTCCCCCCGTCTCATTTCTCAGACCCCATCGTCCCCAACCGAAACCCTAGCGCCGCCGCCCTAATTTCCACCATTTGTCACCGGCGGCGTTGTTCCCAAACCGCCCCAAACTAACACCCTACAACCCCCATGATCCCCTCATACCAAATCCACAACTATTTTCCTTCAAATCTGCCCGGAGCTCCGCAAATCTTGAATCCGAGTTCAAACCCCAAAAAGTTCAAAGCCATTTTTCATCGAGCCTGGTAGCATGCACGTTCGGGGAGCACTATTCTTTCAAACTCTGAGGTTTGGACTCGGCAAAACTGATGTCATTTAGTTGTTCTTGACAAAGAACAAGGGATCGACATAAGTTTGGCTAAGTTCTTTGTCCCTGTCCAGTTTCGAGGTTCGATTTGGTGAGTCCCTTTCCCTCTCCGGTTTCCTTTCTGTCATCCTCATCTTTCCCTTTCTTAAAACTAGTATTCTTATAATAATTTGGTCGAAAATTCAATTCATCTTCTGAGTCCAAGTTTGTTCTTCCATTCGTTATTTTTCTCTTTTCTCTCCTTTTCTTCGTGAATTTCGTTTTGTGACATTTTTAGTTTGTTAAACAGGTTAAGTTTCTGGTTCGTTAAATCACTTAATTAGGTCTTAATTTAGTCGATTTCCTGTTAATTAGCTCATTCATCTTTGTCTTTGCTTGATTGCATTTTAAAGAAGGGGTTCCGGGTTTTCTTGTAGGGAAATTTTGGTCAGTCTTTTGAGTTTGGAATCCCTGATGGATTTTAATTGGACTCCGAAAATCAGAAAGTCCAAGTGGGGATTTAATTTGTGTTTGCAGACCCTTACCAATTTGAGTCGGGTCAGTGTGACCTATACTTGGGTTGGAGGGGTAGTTTTTAGAGGTTTAAAGGGTATTTTGGGGAATCTTATGCAAATAACTACCTAAGGAAGCTTCTAGGAAGTTGGGGTAGGGATTAATCTGCAATTCTGAATTTTACACTAAGGAGGTCTAAGCAAAAAGGAGAATTTAAAAAGGGGTAAGGTGCAAAAAACTGAATACTTTAGGCTGCCCTAATGCCTTGCCTTTAAAGGCACCTCTAACTTGGCATTCAAGGCAGAGGGGAAAAGAGATAAAAAAAAACCTAAAACCTGAGACGGCTGAATTTTTTTTTTAAAAAAAGGTTCTGAAATCCCTGCATTCCATGGTGGAAGAACAATCAAATTTTGCTCATTTGAATTTCTGACCCCTCTTGTGCTAGTTAAAATTCTCCAAAATCCCATATTTATAATCTGATTTGAGAAATGAATTAAGGATGGTTTGAAGATTAAGTTCTGGTTTACTGCTTTCTACTGTTTTATTGGTTGTTTTCTAGGTTTAGTGTTGCTGGTTGTCTTTCTGTTACTGGGCTCTATTCTGCTGTTGGCTACTGATTCTTCATCTCTTTGTTTTTCTCTTTCGATATCCAGGTACACACTCTTGAGTCTCAATGTTTGTGAAGTTGATTTGAAGAATGAAATGAAAGACAGAATTTAAAGCTTAGCATTCGCTTGTTCTGTTGATTCAGTAGTGTTATTTTGATTTCGTTTTCTTGACTTGATGTGTTATATTGTTCAATTGAGTTCTATCTTGAACAAGTGAGATTTTACTATTGTGTTTAATTTGGGACTGTCATGAAACTGGAAGAATGATTTGCTTGGTTGAATCATGTAGCATAGATTCTGCATATTAAACCCTGTAATTGCATGGGATATTTTCTACTATGTAATTTCATTCACATTATTGTCAAGTATTGCTGGTTTTGGATGCTTCCACACTCATGAAATTGGAGTGGCTGAAGGTTCCTCTTAAGTGTTGGGCACGCAGAATCCTGTTAGTAGAAAGGGAAATGGTTCAGGTTGTTTAAAAAGGGTAAAAGCATGCATTGATTTATTTTGGATGGTATGTTGAATACGTTTAAACTTAGAAGTGAATCTCAGAATGCTTGGTTAGACTATTTAGGATTC